AGCTTGAAATTTAATAAAATTTCAGAATTTGCTCGTATATTAGATATTTTTACTTTATCCATTTTATATCTTATTCTTCTAGATCACTTATATAGAAGGATCATGAAACAAATGGATCACAATCTGCACTTTTGAGAAGTTATAGGGATAGGGTCCACTATATGACACGGGAAATGAAACTATGTAAACTTTTCATCGTGTCATGTGCTGCATAATTCATCCAAAAGCACTTGCAGGTTCTTATGAGATGCTTACGACTGTGTGGCACAATTTTATCGAATGCATCAGACTTTGGAGAATTTGTACTTCAGTCCAGGTACACATACTTCTTTGCAATGCGATTAGAACTCGCCGACTTTGATTAAGATTTCTTTGTGCTATGATGTGCTCATTTGTGCGTACATTGCTAATACTACCAGGAAAAGATTGCTATAGTAGTGCAAAACATAGTTATTTTGGATTTTTTGATCTGAACTGTCCTGTTCTTCCATACCTATGTTTTATGATTTGATCACATATGGAGTATCTGTATGTTTCTTCAGCATGGTGTTAATCCTTTGCTGCTTGTTTCATTATTTAATGCAGTTGTCCTATGTTTTAACGTTCATTTCAAGCTTTAGTTTTGTATTACGTTTTCGGTTATGGAGTGAATTAGTGTTTGCTTCATACACATGGTTTGGTTCTTAGTGAACCCACATTTGTTAGAGATGGAGGACTTTCCTTTAATTTCCTTCAAGTTTTTCGTAGTACTTGTTGATTAAAGAGACTTGTAGTGCCTTTATGGATAGTTGTTAAGCTGTGAACATTCTATTATAGTGTATACATATATACTTGATCTGAAGGTATTTCTTGCATTTAGCTTCACTTTTTAGCGGTTTTGGTAAATTGATAGTGTATCAGGGAGTATAAATTGATGGGTTTAAGAGGCAAGGCACCAATTAACAAGGTAAAGGGTCTCCTAAAGTCATGGCGACCACTCTACGTAGTGTACTTATTTCTTATGTGTTCTAATCGGTATTCGGTTATATGATTAGTCCAAATGTGCACAGGTTAGATATATATTCTGGCAAACAAACTTTGAAACTTTTCTCTTTGTTATAAAAATTCTTTTATTATTTCAAAAGTTGTAAGATCTTTTGTTCTAAAACTACTTTCGGAGTAAATCCTTTAAAATTTTGGATGAAAATTATGAAATGAAACATGTGTTGTAGTGACTCGGAACAATGAGGTGGTGATCAAATTTCAACTTTTATTGCAAGTCATTGTCATTTCAGATGGTAATAGAAAATAATTTTTTTTGTAGAAGGGGCAAACTTTGTAGGTAATTTATTTATTTATTTTTGTGATTTAGCCTTATATATATATGTATGTATTTATAAAGCCCTTCTTAGTTACTAGATTAGCCACCATTTAGAACATTTGGTTTCATTCTCAATCCTTTATCAGTTGGTAGTTTTGTTATGGGGCCTCAACGCAAAAAATTGATTCTTTGATACATTATGGCTCTTAGGCTGAGTTTTAAGTTGTGTCGATGGATTAATTATCGACTTGGCTTGACTAATTGTAAGCAAAAATAAAATTCTACCATCATGTTCTTAAGAAAATTTGATCTCAAATCAAATTATGGCATCAAGAGTTGATCTCAAATCAAGAAAATCTGGCATATTCATGATTAAAGCTTGTGTGAATTTAAAAATCAAAGACACAAAAAAAATTAATATAGGAATCAGGTCTCTAGGTTTAAATTTTGATTGGAGTATAGATTTGTATAGTACAACAAAGAAAATATAGCAACATGTAAACTAAACTTATGCACTCTTTAACACACAAAATTCTTAAACTTAATTAAACTAAGCAACTTTACACTCAAACATAACCATTTATAACTCATATACTAATCAACTTGAGCATTCCAAACGTCTCTTTAATATCTCTTTAATGTTTGAGATTATTTTTCTAAAAATATACATGCAATGCATAAATATGTAATGAGTGGGGGAAAGATGCATGAAATGAATATGTATGTCCATTTATTAGTTAGCATAATAAGATACTAGAGATTTTAAGGCACAAAACAAAGACAAGCATTAACTAATTCTTCTTTTCATTTTTGATTCTACCAGTTGGGGGTATCAATATTTTCAATTTTTTTTTTTTTTTACTTTATTTTCGTGCGCAATCAAACCAATTTAGGAACATTTTTATTATACTCAAAAGACAAATACATTTGATTGTTGAAGTAATTCTTGGAGCATTCAATCCCAGATGGTAACTGGGATATGAAAATGAAGTGAAAAAACGCATAAATTTCAAAAACAAAAGCTATCTAACAACTATTCATTAAAACGAATACACCCCAACTTTGTTGTACTGAAAAAAAAAAAAAAAATACTTTGGTAAGTAATGATCGATTCATCATGTGAATATGCAAACAAGTTTCTGTGAGAAACGACTCTGAACACATCAAACGAAGAGCATCAAAACTTTGAAAATTCAACAATAAATATGAGAAAGTTTCAACTAAATAGTATCGTTAGGACATGTAGAACTAATTCATGAACAAAACAGAGTAATGCTGCAAAATCTCCATAACAACTGATCTTACGAAAAAGAAATGAAAAAAGATAAAAACTGATAAAGGGTCTAGAAAAGAGAAGTTCCCTTCCCCTTCTTGTCTCCACCGATTTCGAAGTGCTTGCATCTCTGCATTTGACAAATTAGAACTGTGATGAGGGAAAGGTACAAAATTCTGATAACAACAATTAGGGTTTCCTTACTTGGGCTTACATATTTTCTAAAATAGCTAATAATTACTTCAAATATAGTTCTTGGCGAACATATAAAAATTGCAGCACCCAGGCACCCAGTAAGTACCCAATTGATTTTGAGGGAATGATGAGTACGGTAATGGATCAAACAAATCAACCACCAGGGGTAAAGGGATATTGAGAAGCCTATCATCAACGGCCTCACAAGCATATTTACTTATGTAATCGCTCAAACCTACCACTAGCAGACATTGTCCCATTCAGGCTCTCTTTCGGGCTTCCCCTCAGGTTTTTACAACCCGTCTGTTAGGGAAAGATTTCCACACCCTTATAAAGAATGCTTCGTCTAGGGAGAGGTTTCCACACCCTTATATATAAAGAATGATTCGTTCTCCTCTCGAACCGACGTGGGATCTCACAAAAGACATCTACTTAATAAAGAGAGGACATAGACAAACAAAAACTATGCATTCCCCCCCATATGATGCTTACCACTATATGCTTGAATGTTTTTTTTAGAAAATGCATTAGATTAACAAGATACTCAATAGAGAGAGGCCATAAACACAAAATGATGAAATACTAAGCATTCTAACCTTGATAGCGTGCTGGGATACGTGTTTGCAACCTTGGCATTGCAGCCTCAACACAATCTTCTTGGTAGTTTTTGCCTTTGAGATTCACGAATTTAACTTCAGTTCTAATCTCAATGACATTGCGGAAAAAGAGAAAGTAAGAATTTAACTAGACGTGAGAAAATTAACCAACCTTCTTGTGAAACACAGGCTTGGTCTGACCTCCATATCCTGATTGTTTGCGATCGTACCGACGCTTTCCCTGTGCAGCAAGACTATCCTTTCCCTTCTTATATTGTGTGACCTTGTGCAAGGTGTGCTTCTTGCACTCCTTGCTCTTGCAATAAGTCTTCTTTGTCTTGGGGACGTTCACCTGTTTCCCATTACAACATCCACAATCAAATCTTAAAATCATAAAGCTACAAGCTGAAAAGATAAAAAAAGAAACAAATACTGCATACCCACTACTGCATTTCAATTCCATGATTTAAAATTCATTTGGAAGGGAATATCAATGATCTTATAATGAAAGATCCAGAATCGATAATTCACTCCAAGTGCAATATTCACCTCTCTGAAAAATCCCTTCGTTTAAGCAATTTAGGAAGAATCATTTCAATCTCACTCAATACTAACGCCCTCAAAAGTCAAGTGACACCCCCTCCATTCAAAGCTAAACTTTCAAAACGCAACCAATAGCTACAACTTTTTATTTATTCAATCACAGAGTTAATTGGCGGCCAAATAAAACAGAATCGAACAAGGCATCAGAGACGTAGAACACAGAAGGAATCAAGAGAAGAAGTACAGAACCAACAAGAGAGGTTCAAGATAATACATGAGTAGCTATTGTACTGAGAAACAAAGGTGAAGAAGAGTACCATGACGGCTGGACGTCGACGAGGCCTGCTCGAAAACCCTAATTAATGGCAAATAGCAACCGAAGGCGAAACGAGAGCCATATATATGTTGAACTGGAGAAGAGAGCCAGGGGATCCTGTTTGCGTTTGTGGATTTGGGCCCAACCAAAGACGTCCACGGCCCAATATAATTTTATAAGTATTTAAATAAATATATATATATTTTTTTTTATGAATTAAATTGTTGATTAATTTTTTTAAAATTTATTTGTTAATCTAAAATAAATAAATTCTTATTATAATGGAACATTATATTATATTTTTGCTTAGGTACCGTTTCAATAAGATGAAAAATTATCCATTAATTGAAATGAATATAAATTTTTAAAAAATATATAAAAGATTCTATTTTTTTCTCTATTTCTTATAACCGAACAAGGGCAGACCTAGTTCGAGGGACATGAAAGAAAAGCCGAACAAGGGCAGACCTAGTTCGAGGGACATGAAAGAAAAGTCTATCGGCCCTTAAATGGTATTTAGTATTTTTATCAATTTAGGTGGAAAGAGCACCGGTAAAAAGTGAATTGTTTTTAAAAGAACGACGATTGTTCGTGAATGTTTCTACATAAAGACCCCTAGCGAAAGCTCGAAAAAAAAATGAGTGCACGATATACGCCACAAGTATTCTAAAATTCTTAAATCAGATTCTCGTAAGAAAATCATAATTTGTCATGAGCTATCATATCTGTAGTAGTCTAGCTGCAAGAGAATTTGATATCCACACACATAAAAAATAGTTAGGGACGTAAAATATATTTAGTCCAAAAATATTCTACATAAATGGAAAAGCGTTGGCTAAAAATAGGTATCATACAAATGATTGACATGCATTACCTCTCTTAAAATCGAAAGTTTAAATAATTTTGGAAGCTACGGGCAAACGGTTGCCCGAGAGAAAGTAAATGAATAGAGCGAGCGACTGTCGAGGAGCAAAGACGGGGGTTTGGTGGCCTGCCCCTCTAATGGTAGCCAAGGTGAGGCCTTCTTGGTAGGTTTCAACCCAACCAGCTACTTGACGCCTTTCAAGCCATGCTCTCCATTCTTCTTCGACCTTTAAATTCATTCTCTTTATACTATATCTAGTTGACGTTATCGGTATCCTTCCATCCGTATCACCGCTGCATTCATTTTAACGAGTAGCTAAATAGTTAAAGCATATGTATCATCAACCAAAAAACTAATAGGTTGACGAAGATAGAGCAAAAATTACCTGTAAATCCAAATGCGATATCGTGCTTGAAGTAACTTGTGAATGATGGGCAAGACAGAATTAGGAGAATCAATCCAATCTTTGATCACATTGCTGCCACCAAAGTTTAGCGACAAAAATAAGTATTAACACTTATCAATCACGTCTCTAATATTTTAAATTCGACCACATTCTAAAACATACCTGCACAGGGTATAAGGATAAGAAAGTTTGGTAACATTAGCATGGAGAGCCCTTTGAACATCCTCTCTGTTGAAATACTTTTTTGCATAATTTGCACTACATGGATCGTACCCTCTTGGTACCTTACTCCATAACATCTGATTCAAAACCAAATTTAAGCATCAAACCGAACATATAGCTCATCAAATAAAACATTAATTACCATTCCAAAGGTCGATAATTCAACCCTTTCCAGATCTGTAGTTATTGAACTAAAAAAATGGATTTGAAAGATTTTTCGAGGGATATGAAATCTTACGTGTTTTGAGAAGGTTTGAGGAGTAGTACCGATGAGTCGAAAGACCGAGTCCAAAGAAGAGGAGAGGCAGGTAGGAGCGTAAATGTTATAGATATCAATTTTGGAGTAAGAAACAAAAAAATCTCTATAGTGATTGAGACAAGAAAGTGGTAGGTTTTCAATATCGACCGAGAAATTGCATTCTTTGAAGATGTTGGCATGGAGTTGATCTGATATTATGGCATGGCTCCATGCATATTCCACCATTCCTATAATGTCTGTTTCATCGTTAATGGTTGCATTTCCAATCTAAAAATAATAATAAATAAAAATCAGTCATAATGTATTAATTATAATGCTTAATTAAAGCCTAAAATCATTCATATGAAGTTACCATTATGCCCTTGAGGTTGATAATCAAGTCTTTGCTAGAATTTTTGTTTCTCTCATGAATCAGCTCAGCAAGTTGGGGAGCATAATGTCCTTCAAACAAATAATATATAAATAAGAATTATTATTATTATTATTATGTAAATAACAATTTTTATCCTTTTTAATCCGGTTCCAATTTAGACAATATTTTAATTTTATATTACATAAATTTAAATTCTTCGAATTCGTAGAATCAAATGTTCGAGAATGAAATTCAAACGATAGAAATAGAAAATTGGAAAAGAAAAATACCAGCGTAGCTCTCTCCAGCTATATAGAAATCATGAAGTTTGAAACTCGGGAACCTTTTAAACCAGCTAATAAGAAAGGTATAAGAATCTTCAGCTGTGACTTTATCACCGAGCTTATACAAATCTGATGATTTATTGGTATAAGAGAATCCCACTCCCACTGGTGCCTCCAAAAATAACATATTTGCGGCTATTCCCAAAAAAATAAATAAATAAATAAATAATCTAAGTTTTGCCGAATAAATAATGGAAATTATGAATTTAAATTGAAACATAATAATTTTACCTTTATTCCAAGAAAACGGGTTGAGTTTTAGCTTCCCATTACTCTGAACAAGGAAAGGGCCGAGTTCTTGGGCAGCTCCATAAGCTATGGAGGAACAACCCGGTCCTAGTAGATAAAACATTAATTATTTTTTTAAAATGAATATTAAATAAATAAAAAAAGACTAACAAAATAAAAACTAAATAAGAACCTCCATTGAGCCAGAGAACAAGGGGCTTAAGAGCGACGTCGTTTTGAGCCTCAAAGAACCAGTAAAACAGAGCCTTCTCTTCGCTCGGCCGGAGTTTGATATAGCCGGCGTAATGCCGGAACTCGACCGGGGGCTGGTCCGGCAAGTCGATGACTTCGTCGGCCTCTCGTCGCCGTGAATCTCTGTCGTCCAATTCCTCTCCGCCGATCTCCGACGAGAAAACCACCGCCGTTAAGAACAGTAAAGCGAAAAACAACGGCAACAAATTCCCGGAATTAGGCATCGGCGACGAACGGCAATAATTCTGGTCTCTCTGTTTGGAATTGTAGAGAGAGAAAAAGGAGAATGAATGTGGAGAGGGAAAAGTGGTGAATTATATTATTGAAAACAAGAACATTTGGTTGCCAATGTCTTTAACTTATTGAATTCATTGGAAAAGCTTTTTTAATTTAATCATTCTTTTTTGTTTAATTTTGATTTTAATTCTTCAACTTTTTTTAAATTTTCTCTTTTCAGCACATGAATTATTCCTTTTCAAAAATAAAAAAATGGTCAAAAGCGATTATTTTTTATGAAACTTTATAATTAAACCCTTAATTACAATTATTTTATAAGTTAAAAGGGGAGTTTAATCCAATTGTGAAAATACTAGAATACCCTTGATTCTTTCAATTTACAATAATTCAAACTTACTGCTAGCAGATATTGTCTATTTTGACTCATTACGTATCACCATCAGTCTCACAATTTTAAAACGTAGGTAACCATTGTCTTATTTAAAAATAAAATAGTTATCGAACAGACTCACCCTCCAACAATTTACGAACGAGTGGTGGGCAAAGTGTTGGTGGAAAGGAAATGAGAGAAAAGGGAGAGGGATTGTTGAGGAGCAAAAACAGGGACTTGATGGCCTGCCCCTCTCACACTAGCCAAGGTGAGCCCTCCCCTGTAGGTCTCAACCCAACCAGCCACTTGATTCTTGTGGTACCATGCCCTCCACTCTTCTTCTATTTCCAACCCCATCTTGTTTATGCTGTACCTCGTCGACGTTATTGGAACCCGTCCATCCGTATCTCCGCTACAAAAATACATAGTGCTCGTTCAAAATACTTTCTAATTTAAACACTTCATTCTTTTTTTTGATAGACTTCGATTTTATTTAAACATGGCCAAATCTTATGATGCAACATGTCACGGTCGTTTAAAAGGGATTAAGAATTAATTACCTGTAAACCCAAATACGCAATCCGACATTGAGGAGCTTGTGAATGATAGGCAACACCGAGTCAGTTGAATCCGTCCATTGCCTAATCACACCACTGTGCACAAAAACGAACCAACATTCATACTCATACCGTTTCGAGTTTCGGGTTTTAGGTTTTGAACGTGTATACTTACATACATGATCGTGATTCAAACGACATAAACAAGTATCGAGGAAACGAGCTATTTATTAGAGAGAGAGAGATGGATTCATTGATGATGATGATTTTAATGGCAATGGCAGAAGAACACAGAAGGGAAAGCTCCAGTTCAATCACTCAACACATGCACTTATTCATTGCACACACACTTTCACTTTCTTCCCCCACCCCACAATATTAATGCTAACACCTAGTCCAACTCTTAAAATCAATATCCACTTCTAGATTGATATGAGTATCGTTTGATATAATAATGAGTATGTAAACTAATACGAACATAATTTCAAACTAAAATTTATGTTTGAAGAATACGAACATAATTTTAAACTAAAATTTATGTTCGAAGAATAGAAAATACCTGCAGGGAGTATACGGATACGATAGTGCTGTAACGTTAGCATGAAGAGCCCTTTGAACATCGTCTCTATTGAAGAACTTTTTTGCATAACCTTCGGTACATGGATCGTAACCCGATGGAAGTTTATGCCACAATTCCTACAACACAATACATATTTACTAGCAAATTCTGAAATAGAGGTACGTACACCTGTTGTTCATAAGATTCGATAATTCAATCAACCCAATTTATTAAATTGTTAGATTTTTTTTTTTCGATTTAAATTTTTGAAAAATTAAAAAATTGGTTCCGATTGTAAGTTACAACTCAACACAACTCTACTCAACCTTTTAAAAAGATTAAAAAAAATTTAACGTTTGTAATTGATATTAATAATGTTGTGAGATCTCATGTCGGCCGTAGAGTAGAATGAATAATTGTTTATAAGGGTGTGGAAACCTCTGACTACCAAACTCATTATAAATTTTTGAAGGGGAGATTGAAAGAAAAAAAAAACAATATCAACTAGTGGTGAGTTTCGGCTGTGACCCAACTGAACTAAAAGACAGAGAGTTGAGTTGGGAACTCTATTGACACTGTTCGAGTTGGTCCAAAAGATATTTCCAAAACACGTGGACTGAAATAATTCAAAACGAAAACAAAATAGTAACAAACTCACACATGCATCATATAATCGAACAAAATGAGCTCAGAAATATCGAAACAAGGTCAAAATCTAGAGGAACGAGGAACTTACGTGTTTCGAAAAGATTCGAGGAGCAACACCGACGAAGCTCGAGAAAGTCGACTTAGAAGAAGAAGAAGGAGAGAGGCAAATAGGAGCATAAATGCTATAAATATCAATATCAGAGTAAGCCAACAAGAAGGCTCTGAGATGATCATCACAGTGGCCTGTTGCTGTTTGGTTAACGGACTCAGAGTTGGATTCAGGTGCAAACTGGCAGTCATTAACTATACTATGGTAAAGTTTATCAGAAATAATCCCATGGCTCCACGCATACTCAACCATTCCCTTCGAATCCGTCTCGTCGTTGATCGCAGCATTCCCGATCTATTTTCACCATCAATAACTCATCACGACACCATTTCGATCCATCTTAATTTCTAAATCAAGAAATGAAAAAAAACGTTACCATAAAACCCTTGAGATTAATAAACGTATCCTTCGAAGAATTCTTATTTCTCTCGTGAATGAGCTCAGCTAGCTGAGGAACATAGTGACCCGCGTAACTCTCTCCAGCTAAATAAAAATCATGAAATTTGAAACTTGAGAATCTTTTGAACCAACCGATGAGAAAGGCGTAAGAATCTTCAGCTGTGACCTTATCACCGAGCTTATATAAATCCGATGATTTATTGGTATAGGAAAATCCAACTCCGACCGGTGCCTCCAAGAATATAATATTTGCAGCTGAATAATATTTTAATATAAATATCATATAATTTATTTATCTTAATGAAAGTAATTTTTTAAAATTACCTTTGTTCCAAGAGAAATTATTGAGTTTTAATTGGCCATTGCTGTGAACAAGGAAGGGGCCCAGCTCTTGTGCAGCTCCATAGGCTATGGATGAGCAGCCTGGCCCTGATTTTATCAATTTAAATAAAAATCAAATAAATTAAAAAAGGGAAGGTGGGCCCAGGGAGAGAAATGGAATTTCAGAATTTGGAGGGGCCGTTAGTCGACGGTAGAAGGGAATATAATATTGTCTCTTCTTTCAATAAAGTTGGATTTTTGTATGATAGGACTGTCTCTTTTACCAACACAAGTCCGTTACTTGACAGACTCATGCGCACGTTTTCTTCTTTTTTAGTCTCCAAGGGCATTTTCGTCATTTCGAATTCTTTTTAAATAAATTTGAGTTTATTATTGTTTAATTTATGGATTCTTTTTTTAAAAAAGCAAAATAATAATAATAATAAATTGTTAGGGCAAACATAATTTAAGGTTAGTTTTCTAGGGAAAAACATGATGATTGTTATAATAAATTTAATTATTATTAAAATTGAAATTATATAATTTTTCTATTAATTTTTTTATTATCGATTTTTAATTTAAATTAAGCAATATTTTACATTAATAAATTTTGAAAAAGGATTATAAACGGTAATCGAAAAAAAAAAAATTAGATAAATAAAAAATCGGAATCGGAAATGAAAACGAACCTCCGTTGAGCCAAAGAGCGAGGGGTTTCCGAGCGACGTCGGTTTGGTTTTCGGCTTCGAAGAACCAATAGAACAATGCCTTTTCCTCTTCTTCTCGCTCTGGACGGAGTTTGACGTAGCCGGCGTAGTGGCGGAAATTTACCGGTGGCTGCCCTGGCAAGTCGGTAACTCTATCGGCTTCTCTCCGCCGCGCTTCCTCCGCCTCCAATTCCTCTAATCCTCCAATTTCTCTCCCTTCCGCCGCTGTCGCCGCCGTGGCGAGGAGGAGAATGAAGAGAGAGGAAATTCGGAAAGGAGGCATCAGAGAGAAACAGAGAGTGACTGAGAATGGGGAGAGAAATGTAGAGTGGAAAACGCCTATTTGTAGGCGCAGAGCAGCAACCAAGATAGACACGACTCCATTTTTCACTGCCCTTTTCCTTATTTATTTATTAATAAAAACCTCCTTCATTAATTAAAATATATATTTTAATTCTATAAAATAAAGATATTAATCACGTTTCTATACCTGATTTTCAAAATTTTAATTTAGTTCTTACAATTTGAGCTTAGCTAAATTTCCATTTACTTAATTTAATTTTTATTAAACTTCCTAAATTATCCGTAAATAATATTATATCTAATGCCTACTCCATTAAAAATCGTATAACATGAAGTGGGTGGGGGCATAATGTAAATTTTGATTAAACCAATGGTCGAATAGAAATAATAGTGATCAAACTCAAACTATGCCGAAGTGGTGTGTGCGTCGGAGTCCAATAAATAATCACATGGGTTTCTTGGTCCAAGACATACTCAATTTTAGTGACGGCTTGACCACATACCAATTTGCTTTTTTCTTCTTTACTTTTTGTACTATCATGCGTGGCCCGTAGTGTTGATGATTGTTGAAATGGAAAGGGGGTCCCATATTAGCTACCAAAGGGGACTTATAACATGTTCAAAGTGGACAATATCATATCATTGTGGAAGTTCGTGATTTATAACATGCAATGACGACCAATATATATTAATATTTATTTAATTAAAAAAAAATTGATTTATGGATTTATTTATACATATATATTTTTCAATATGGACATGTGAAATCTTGATATTAAAAAATGAGTAAATTTAATTGAAGTGAAGTGATAGGTGCCGTGAGAGTGAGGATGAGGGGGTCAAAATATTAATGGCTACATATCATCTTCCTAACTAGGTCGGACAATTTTTTATTTTATTTTTTTTAACATTTAAATTTTTTATTTTCAAATATTTTTGGTCGTATGTCTCATAGGAACGCTAGGTCAAGTGTTAAGAATATTTAGTAATAAATTATAGTTTACCATATATATTATATTTGATATTTTATTATAAGACAAATATTAGATATTAAGTATCTTTCTATTTATTGTTATTTTCATATCCTTGTAATTTATTTGATTATAAATGAGATAACTCTCACACCATTTAAGTGGGGTGGATTAATAAAAAATTCTTATCCAGGAAAAGAATTGAGGTAGGACGAGGGTCAGGAATATGTTTCAGGGTTTTAATGTTATGAGACCATGCATTTTGTATGACATGTGCATCGAGATACATCTCTGTATTATGTTTTAAAGTTTGAGAGTATTTTTAAAATAAATTAGTCAATAACGGTTCTATCTATAATTAATGGTAAGCGTATTTTAAAGACAAACTCCAAAATTTAAAAGTATTTTTATTAATTTAGCACGAAAAAAAAAAAAAACGTTCTTCAACAAGAGCCAAAAGTGTACAAGGAAACTTGTAGACTTAGCTAAAGAATTGATATTAGGGCAAACGAAATTAGGTTATCTTCCACGCCCACTCCCAATATTCCAAATTCACTCTTCCTCTCCTCCTAACCTAACTCTCATCGGTTACGTAAAACTCTCTTCGATTTACCTCACATAGATTATTCAACTACCCGGTAGAAGTTTTTTTTTATCAGTTCTTTTTAACATGTTTGATTGGTGAAAGAACGATTGTCTTAAGAAGAGATCATCACAGTAAGTCGATTCTCCAAAATTTCTATTTTTTTTTTTTTAAGTCATAAACAATATTTGGGCTATGTGATTCAAACAACGAAATAATTGCTTGCCTTTTTCCTAGACGTAGATGTAATGTTGTGTTGACAAAGTTAACTTCTTGGATTGTGGACTCGAGTTAGGGTGCAGTGTAACTAAGAGAGACATTCCATTTAAACTAAGCTAAGTAAGAAAGTCTTTCTAGTTGGGGAGAGCAGAGTTATAGCAATTTCACTCTTTTCCTAAGGGTTATTCATCGGAATTTGAATATATTTTATATCATATACTTTCCACGTGGCTCATCAAAGTCTTCGCTCACTAACATTAAAAATAAAAAAATAATAAAAAAAGTTTTTAAATAAAAATAATATATATTTGTATAAATATTCCAAGACTCTATTCATGCAAAGACTCTAATGTTCACAGAAATCTAACAATGAACCATTGTAAAATTTCGAGAAATAGTTTTGTAGAATTTTAAACTTTGAAATTGATGTATGGACTCACATGGGTTGACTTGGATGTCAAAGAACAGAAGCAAACTTTCATGAAGGATAAATTAGTGACACCAACTTAAGCTAATTAGGTAAGTGGCTCAACTATTGGTTTGGTTGGAAGAATTGTTTCATGTATGATGACACCTGCCTAATGGCCCTTGCACGTGTCATATGTGTGATATGCTTTGATATGTGATATTATGTTATGTTATATTACGCTATGTGATGTTATGTTATGTTACGCTATATGATACGTCAACGAAATGCCATGATATGTAACGATAAGCTATGTTATATTATGACATGTCATGATATGTAATGATATGTCATAATATGTTTTGAAATAAGAAATCTATGATGCACAACCTCCCTATGCCATGTCATGGAGACTATGTGATAAGAAATCAACTCAAGGGAAAACTATGATATCAAATGATAAGGAATCACTACCAGGAAAGTAAGATTTGAATTACTTTGTTAATCGAATATCTCAAGGCAAGAATACTTGTTTGAGATTCGAACCACTTCACAAGAAAGATTGATCATGTCAAGCTTAAATGATTCTAGACATACAATCTAAATTACACAGAATTGCAAAAAAAAACTTAGCATTTGGCTAAGAAAAGGTAAGAACACTTATGTACGCATAATTACCGGATTTAATATGTTATGAAAGAATGGAAGTTGTCTTGCCTTATTTTTCATGCCATGATGAAAAGTATGGGGACCTCATGCATAACTGAGTGGTCACATGCATCAAAATACTTCTCCATTATGATGAGTGTGGACGCATACACTATGAGACTAATTATGATCATCATATTTTTCATGATGTTCTGACGGCTGTTATTCCCTCCAGGTGTTCTGTAATAGCCCGTTAGCGAGTGCTAGCTCGACCAACAATCTCAAGGGGTGTGCGAGCTCACCTGGTGAGTCCACATTCTCACGTGTGTACAGAAGTAATATACATCCAATTTAGCCCGGACTGGAAAGTTGCATAAGAGAATGAAATGATGTTCATGTGTTTACATTTCACGATACCAATAGTAAATCACTTACTGAGTATTTCTTAAAATACTCCAGTCATGTGCTACTCTTACATTTCATGTAAAGACAAGACACCCCTGTACGAATGATGGAGGCGACGCGTTAAGACCATGAAACCGATGTTAGGGGTAGTTGCATATTCATCTTATTTTATAGTGTTAAGTTAGATTAGAACAATGTTTTGTTTTCTAGTTTTGGATATATCGTTTATTCTCGTTTCTTATATACTTTTTTTTTTTATTATTATTATTGATATAAGGATTTTATTTTTAACGTATAAGTCCATGACATCATTTATGAACTATTTAAAATGAAAATTTCCGCATAAAAATATCACATAATGCATACAGTAACGACTTTATTATAGTTTAAAAGTAGGTCATTACATGAGCTACGAAAATAAATTTGCAGACAAAAGCAAACACCACACGCCCATTTTTTCAGCTGATGTGTACCATTTCTCTATTAATCCATTTCCAAGTTAATCTCTGGCAACCTCACCGTCATCTCCTCCGGTGAATTCCAATCCCGGAAATTAATATGGATTTAAATATATTTTTTTTGTTACGAGGATAGAACCCTAAACTTATAAGAGTTATGTCATGAAAAGAATGGAAGTATGATGTGTATCATAACCATGTATTATGATTTAAAATTATAAGACCTCATACATGTTAGTATGTTGCGAGTATAGGATACTTCTCCAATATATTTTGTACCAACACGTACATCATGATATGATACACGCTCCTTTTACGTTGGTTTTTATGACAACGCAAACGTGTGCTAGCCCATAGTCGAACTTAGGGGGTATGTATACAAGCACGCTTAGTGAGTTCATGCGCTAGCCCATATTCATATAACAAATAATTCGCGAAAAACGTCTCTCGAATTTTATATTTTATCAAAATAAATAAATAAATAAATAAGAAAAAAAAAACGTGATTTATTACTTTAAATTAAAAAAAAAATGAAGCAAAGACAAGTTGGTGTCCAATTATAGCCTTGGTGAAGAAGCAACCCATAATTTTTTTTCCCTATTTTATTTATTATTTATTATTTATTTTTAATTTGGTAAGAAATTCAACGTTGAAATTACGACGAATTGTTATTAATATGCGTAATACCTCATCTTATTTATTATTATTATTATTCCTATTTTATTATTGTTTTTAATATTATATTAATTCTTGTATTGAAGAAGACTTATTTAATTTTAAATACATTACATAAATCTGCTACTACTGATATTCGTGCTGCTAGCCATTAATTCAAAAATGATAATATATATATATATATATTTTTTTTTTATAATTTGGTAATTTGGCCAGTTTTTAATTTTTTTATATTTTAATAGGACCATTTTTTGCAGCAAAAATTGTATATTTTAATACAAATCATGTTAGAATAAGTGTGTAATGGCCTTTGGAAACATTTTTTTTTTCTAATTATTTTTTTAAAAAAATATACAATCAGTTGCTTTCTTTAAAAATATATTTAATTTTTAAATTAAAAAAAATCAACGGTCGTTTATTATTATATAACCAAACATTTTTTAATTTTGAAAATCATATTATTTAAAAAATAATATCATAATCCCATTTAAGAAATTAGCTAGTTTAAAAAACAAACAGAATTTTAAAAAATTTCAACAAAAATATATATTTTACCCGACTTTTACTATATATTAATTAAATTATTATTATTATTATTATCTTCCCATCATAAAATTCATAAAAATCATAATTATTAGTACATCTTGTAAATTCATAAAAATCATTTA